CCTTATTTTCTAAAATTAAGCATGCCCACATGAGATCCTTTTGATTTATTCTTGAAAGTGAGAACGATTGTGAATTTCGGTTTTGTTTGTAAAGTTTGCTTGGTTTTGTCTCCAATATGGTCGTGATAATCGTGTGCCCGCTAGTGGGAGGTTTATAAACGCTAGCACATGTCGACATGTTCGTGATAGAACCGGTTCGCTCGTGGCCCTACTAGTGGGGATTATACACTAGTAACTTCTGTAGCCTGCCAGTGGGAGGTTTATAACACTGGCCATGACTAATAGAGGAGACCACTATGTGATTTTATTTTGCATTAATAATTTGTTCTTGAAATGCTCTGTTCTTGACACGCTCTGTTCTTGAAACACTCTGTTCATATTTTAACCAATTATTTGGCATGCTTTAAATCCTGATTCGGGCACCCATATTTACTTACCGAGATATTTTATCTCACGGTTTCCTTGTCCACCATTTCAGGTAGTGAGACCCGACGCGTGGGAAGCCCGGGGGAGTGACGAGCTAGACGGCTAGGCATTTTTGGAGTTAGTTCTGTAGCTAGGCCGTTAGTCACCCATGCTGACTTAGGAATTTTGTGTACAGAACTCCTGTAGTGATAGTAAGGATTGTATAAATGAATCATAACTTTTTGTACACTTTGACAGGTAAATGTGTAGAAAGAAAATGAAATTAGATATGACCTGAATTATCTGAATTGATAGCATGAATTTAGTAGGTTTCGAGCCTTGTGCACTGTGGGACCCGTTCCCGAGTGCACGGCGTCTGTTTCGCTCTCGGTTTGGGGCGTGACATCATCAATCAACATAATCCAGGCATTTTTGTCATAATGGAGACTAAACTGGTAGGGGCAAGAGCTAGCAAGGCTGCTGAAGCTCTCGGATTTCCTAGGAAGGTTATTGTGGATGCTGATGGCCTTGCTGGGGGCATTTGGCTTTTGTGGGATGACAAGAAATTCTGTGTGGACATCCTAAGCACAAGCCCACAAGTCATTCATGCTACGGTCCAGGTAAAAATTCATCCTTCTCACTCTAATATTAATTGGTTTTTATCTACTGTCTATGGTCGTCCACAGTTTGAGATTAGATCTCTTCTTTGGGAGAATTTAAAGCAATTCTCTCAATTTATTAATGATCCTTGGGTTGTCATTGGGGACTTCAACGACATTGTCGCCCAAAATGAAAAATTTGGAGGCAATCCAATCCCACAATATCGTATTCATGCTTATACAGAATGCATGAACTTCTGTGAGCTTCTAGATATTGGATTTAGTGGCCCTAAATTCACTTGGGTTAATAAGAGAGATACCCATCACCTCATTAGAGAAAGACTTGATAGAGCATGGGTAAATCCCTCATGGAAAATTATATTTCCTGAAGCATATCTATTGCATCTTCCTCGGGTTTACTCTAATCATTGCCCTATTCTACTAACTCTTAAGCAACCCTACCCATGCTCGGATAGGAGACCTTTCAGATTGGAGAAATTCTAGTTTGAGCACGAGTCATTTACAGATCTTGTTAGCTCAAATTGGACCTTTTCCAATTTGTCCATTGCAGAATGCTCAATTGGTTTTCAAAATTCTCTGAAGCTCTAGAGTAAAACTACTTTTGATAACATCCACAAAAGGAAGAAAGAGCTTAGTGCTCGCTTGGGTGGTATACAACGCTTTTTACAATCCAAAAATAGCTCCTTTCTTATTGATTTGGAGAAAACTCTTACTAAAGAATATCAAGATATTCTAAAGTATGAAGAAGACATGTGGTTCATGAAGTCTCGTCTCCAATGGATTCAAAATGGAGAGAGGAATTCTAGATTTTTCCATGTTTCTACCTTGAAGCATAGATCCCATAATCGCATTTTGGGCCTAAAGGATGGTTTTGGTTCTTGGACTTTTGAGGTCCATACTATTGAAACTACTGTCACCACTCATTTCAAAAGTCTGTATTCTACCTCGCTGACTCATTCCTTTCATGACTCATTCAACAATATTCAAAATGGCCATATTGTGAGTTCTTCTTCTTGGCATCTGCTGACCTCTCCTCCATCTGATAGCGAGATTAAAAAAGCTATCTTTTCCATGAAACCTTTTAAAGCGCCTGGACCTGATGGACTCCATGCGACTTTTTTTCAAAAATTTTGGCTCTTACTCAAGGATAAGCTTTGCCTTGAAATTAGGGACATCTTTTCTTCAGGTGTTATGCCAGACTCTTGGAGTGCTAGTTTGATTGCACTCATCCCTAAGAACAGTAATCCAGAATCTATCTCTCAATTTAGGCCAATTGGCCTTTGCAATGTCCCCTATAAGATTGTTACAAAAATCATTGTCCTTCGCCTTAAGGAATTGATGGGAGATTTAATTTCTCCTATGCAATCTAGTTTTTTACCTGGGCAAAATGGTATTGACAATGTTATTCTCCTTCGTGAATTTGTCCATTCCTTTCACAAAAGAAAGGGGAGGCAAGGCGACATGATTGTTAAACTGGATTTAGAAAAGGCTTTTGATCGATTGGAATGGAGCTTCATCAAGGAGGCACTTATCTTTTCTAATTTGCCACCTTTAATGATTAAGCTCATCATGTCTTGTATCTCCTCGACGTCCCTTTCTTGCATTATTAATGGAGGAGCTACTGATTCTTTTAAACCATGTCATGGCCTTAGGCAAGGGGACCCTCTCTCCCCTTACTTATTTATTCTTTGTCTTGAATTCCTTTTGTTAAAACTCCATCATGACATTAGTATTGGGCTTTGGAAAGGCTCAAAATTAGGAAAGTCTAAACCTCTTTTCTCCCATATTTTCTTTACAGATGATCTTATTTTTGCTGGTAAAGCTTCGATTTCTAATGCCTCTTATCTCAAGGAGATGCTAGATTTCTTTTGTTTTCGTTCTAGGCAAAGCATCAACCAAGAGAAATCCAAAGTCTTTTTCTCCACTAATGTTAACTCTGCTACTAGATATGATATCTGTCAGACTCTTGGATATGTGGAGACTTTGTCTTTAGGGAAGTATTTGGGATTTCCTATCTCTCCCAAAAAGGTCAAAAAATCTAATTGTGCATTTATTGTTGACAAAGTCAGATCCAAGATAGCGGGATGGAAGGCCAATAAGCTATCTCTTGCCGAGAGAGCTACTTTGGCATCCTCTGTCCTTTCTTCCATTCCTAACTACTACATGCAGGGAATGGACCTCCCAGCATCTGTCCATTCTGAGCTTGACACTATCTCTAGAAATTTTATTTGGGGATCTACCTCTAACAAGAGGAAAGCCAACTTAGTTTCTTGGGAAAGGATTACCCAACCAAAAAAAGTTGGTGGAATTGGTATTAAGGCCAACAAAGAAGCCAACCAAGCTGCCATGCCTAAGCTTCATTGGAGAATGACCACTAAAACTCACAAGCCATGGGCCAAAGCCTTCATTTCCAAATACAAGATCAAAACTCCCCTCCATAACTTCTCAACATTGTCATCCCCTGTATGTAAGGATATCAGTAAGGGAAGAGATATTATTGAGAAGGGTATAAGTTGGATTCCCCGAGATGGCTCTAGAATTCTTTTTTGGCAGGATAAATGGCTCTTCAAGGAATCCCTTTGCTCCATTTATCATGGTCCTTTTAGACCACATGACTTTTTTATTACCTTGAAGGATATTTTGCTTCCGGATGGCAAATGGAATTTGGATATTATTGCCTATCCATTATCGCAAGACATCATGCAAAAAATTATTGCCACTCCTATTCAGAAACATAGCTCTGATCAAGACTCCTTCATCTGGAATTCAGCTTCAAATGGCAAATTTTCTATGAAATCTACCTACTACATGGCCAAGAATATTCAAAGGCCACAGGATGAAAATTGGTCTTGGATTTGGAAAGTTAACACCATTCCAAGAATCCAATATTTTCTCTGGCTTTTAATGCATGGTAGGATCCTTACCTTCAACACTCTTGCTTAGTGGAGGGTGGTTTCTAATAATGGATGCCCCAGGTGTAGTAATGAACCTGAAACCCTTAACCATTTGTTTAGGGAATGTCAGTATGCTTCCTCCTTTTGGGACTCTATAGGTCCTTACTCCAACTCTTATAATGATCAAAATCTTGATTTTAGAAGTTGGATCAGAGTCAATGCTTGTCGGACAAACTCCAACCTTTTTCCTTCTACCTGGTCTACTATTTTCTCTTATGCTATTTGGGCCATATGATACTCCAAGAATCTTCTTGTGCATGACAGGAAGCAGTTATCTATTATTCAGCTTAAGCACACTACGTTAGACAAAGCTCAGGAATTTATCAAGCACAATCCTACCCATATTGAGTCTAAACCCAAAAATACAATTTCTGTGGGTTGGGTTCCCCCGCCAGATGGCTTTGTCAAGCTTAACACCAACGGTTCTGCTCTTGGAAACCCAAGTATAACTAGAGCTGGAGGTCTTCTTCGAGACCACCTTGGTAGGTGGATCATTGGATTTGCATGAAATATTGGATGGACCACCAGCATCGTTGCAGAATTATAGGCCATCAGGGATGGTCTTGAAATTGCTATTTCTAAGTAATATTCTAAGATTATTGTTGAAACTGACTCTAAAATTGCTACTATGCTTATTGGATCTGCTAATGCTTCCTTGCACTCATTTGGTGTCCTGATTTTTTATTGTACATCCCTTCTAGAACGTCTTTCTGATGTTCAGATTATCCATATCTATAGGGAAGCTAATGCGGCTGCTGATTTTATGGCTAAACTTGGAACTTCCAGTGTAATGGATTTTGTTTTGTATGAAGAAAGTCCCCCTGGGATTTCCTCCATTTTGTTTCATGATCGTATTGGGACTATATTCCCAAGAACTTCTGTAACCGCATGACTTTATCAATATAATTCTCCTTTTTTTCAAAAAAAAAAAACAAAGAGGTTATTATTGCTGACACTCGAGAGGCTCACTAACATTAAGAAGAAGCCTGCTGAGCATGGTTGTCAAAATCGAGTTTTAAATCGTAAGATCGTAAGATTTTACGATTTTAGGTATGGATTTCAAGTAAAATATATGTTAAAATTGGAATCTCATGAAATCGGAAGGAAAAATCGTAAAATCGCAATTTTATGGTAAAATCGGTTGAAATCTCGATTTTACTTTCATGGAAATTAAAGAAGAAGAGGCTTCCAGAAATCCAAACACAAATTTGGTCTCTAGTCTAGGGTGTGATGAATCAAGAAATTGCATATGAAACTAGAAGAAACACAAGGCAGAAACCATCTGTATCAACATAGATGTAAAGAAACTAGAGACTGGTATAGGAACATATTCTTAAGAAAGCAATTTGGGGCAAGCTACGGACCGGTGGCTGTAGTAGTAAACACTGAGTAGCAAGCAACGAATCACTGAATATCATTCACTTTTAGCAAATTCATACAAGTTTAAGCACCAAACATCAAGAAATTGCAGAATATGAAACAAAAACACCCAAGGCGGAAATTTTGGAGAAAGGCAGATCCATATCTGAAGGAGGGATCCCACGATCGGAGAAAATGGAGAAAGGGGGTTCTGGATGGGAGAAGAATCAGGTGATGACCGGTGATGTAGGTGGAAGCTATTGATCGAAGGAAAAAATTGAGAAAGGGGTCCTGGATGGGAGAAGAATCCAGCTTTTTTTTTTTTTTTTTTTGGCTATCTGCAGCCTTATTTTTGGTGTGGCTCCCCCTTTTAAAGAGAAAGGAAAACTAGGGTTTTTTGGGTTAATTTGTGAAAGTGGTTATTGGGCTCAATATTTGGGTTTATGTTAGATTTATTGATTTTTTTTGTGAATTTCATCCTTTAATTTTATATTATTTTATTATAAATTAGTAAAATCTCGATTTTACTGATTTTATTTTACGATTCCGATTTTACCTAACGAAAACGATTTTAGGTAAAATCTTGATTTTGACAACCTTGCTGCTGAGTGCTAGCCACCTAAAAAGAAAAAAAAAAAACAAAAAACAAAAAAAGGAGAAGGGGAAAGAAAGAAAGGAAGAAGAAGCCTGCGGAGTGCGGACAGGCAAGTTGCACTCCCTATAAAATTTCCGTCCTGATTTAGAGTATGGTAAAGCATTGGCGTCTATTAATGAAGATGATGAAAATGATAATTGTAGACAAAAAAAAAAAAAAACAAAAATTATGAAAGTTGTATCAAGTTTTAAGTTAAAATTTAATCAAGTTTACATATTATCGCCTACACCATATCAAATTTACAAGTGATATATATGGCAAAATTACATGATAACAAGTGTCTTATTAAAATGAAAAAAATATAGGACATATGATTAAACGAAGATAACATGTGCTTTATTTATATTAAAAATATAATTGAGACATGTGATAAAATTGTGTAGCTTAATTAAAATAGTTGGAATTAAGATGCTTGCTTCATTCGTCTATAAATACAAGTATTTTTCATTGATCCATTGAGGAGGGGACATTTTGCTAGAGAAACACAGGTACCATATTATTATTGCGTCTTAAATTTTATAGAAGACTTTAAATTGTTAGTTTTTTCCTCAACTTTTTTCTTGTCAAGATCAAGTTTTATTTAAGTTCTTGACAAAATTTACATGACTACATGAACTAGAAGATCAAATTAGATTATTACTCCTTATTTCTTTATTATTCGGAGATTGTACTTACAAATTTCAAATTAATACAAATATTTATCGGTCAAAATTTTCTCATCTCTTTAATTTTTAAATAAAAATTATTATCTATGCCAACTTTTTATTAAACTTAGAAAAGTTAATAAATGATCTAACAAAATTTTAATAAAACTTCATTATAAAATTTATCAACTTTTTATATAGTATGTTTAGGCTGGTGTTATTGCCACAGCTTCAAAGGTTAACACCACAGCTTTTTTAATTAATTGACCATTAACCCACGCGGAGAAGGCGGTGACTGCTGCAAGTTGATTCAAATGAGGGGTATAATAGTCAAATAATTAAAAAAAGCTGTGGTATTAACATCAGTGGCTGTGGCAATAACACCACCCCTATGTTTACAAGCACTTATTCAAAAAATAAACTTTGCTGTTAAAATTGATTTATAACCAAACTGTAGAATGAATGCGAGGAGAGGGCCACCTTTTATTACCCCCAAAAAAAGTGTATAATAACTCCGTTACAATATTATGTTAACTACTGTATTTGCTAAGACACACAACATGCTTCTTGTTGCCTTAAAACGATGCGTAGAGATTATTTAATTTGAGGAATATAAAAGTGAGGAGAAAATTTTCTTTTATTTAAATTAAAAAAATTGAGATAAGGAATGATAGAAGATTTCTTTATTTTAAATTCCTTTTTATTTTCTTTATTTATTTTACCCTATCCAAATAATACCTTCCATTTTCGGCTTAGCTCAATTTTTAATTTATTAACTATCAGTTTAATTTCTTTCTAAATGACTTAATTCAAAAAATCATCTACTAACTGTTAGTTTAATTTCATTTTAGTCTAGAAAGTTTGTTTCATTTCTAAATAGTTTAAAAACTTTGAAGAATATTTCAAATTAGTCTATCGTACAAAAATGACATTAGATTGCCGCTATATTTGAGGAAAGAGCAGTCCTTTGAGTTTTAAAAAAGTGACACTTAAATCCTAATAAAATATGATGAATCAAAAAATAATTTATAGATATAGATTGTAATTCAAACAGAGAAATTCAATAAGTTTAAAATAAAAAATTTTAAAAGTAAGTCTGTTTTATAAGATAGACTGTGTACAATCTGTCTTATAAAATTATTTAAATGTTCATAAAAAATAATATTAAATAGAATTAAGGGTATTTAAATAATTTTACAGGGTGGACTGAATGTAGTCTGCTTTGTAAAACAATTTTATGAAAAACACATTTAGCAAAATAAGAAGAAAAACTATTTTTACTGTGAATATAAATTTAAGGACTAAAAGATTAAAAGAAACATAGTTAGAGTACTAAGGTTTAAGAAGATTTCCGTTAAGATTTTCTGTTAACTTTAACTGCCTAGATGAAATTGAAATAAATGTGAAAGATAATAAACAGAATTGAAACAATTCAAAGATAATAGATGAAGATGAAATTAAACTGAAAGTTAGTAGATGATTTTTTGAATTAAGCCCTTTCTAAATGGTCTATAAATTTTGGAGAATATTTCAAAAGAGTCTACTATACAAAATTTTGTTAGATTTAACGGAAGAAGTAGTGCTTTAAGTTTTGAAAAAGTGACACTATAATTTTAATAAAAGATAATGACTCAAGAAATATTTTATAGAGAAATATTTTATAGAGATAAATTAGTTAAAATTTGTAACAAACTTGAGCAAATATTTCAATTCAAACAGAAAAACTTAGTAAGTTTAGAATGAGAAGTTTTAAGAGTAAGTTTGTTTTACAGTATATGACAAATTGTATGTAGTTTATCTTGTAAAATTATTTAAATGTCTTTGAAAAATAATATAAAAATAAAATTAAGGGTATTTAACTAATTTTACAGGACGAATTATATATAGTCTGCTCTGTAAAACAATTTTCTAAAAAACACATTTAGCAACATAATAATAAAAACTATTTTTACTATGAATATAAATTTAAGGACTAAAAAATCAAAAAAATATAGTTAGAGGACTAAATATTTTCTAATATAATAAAAACATTCGTTAAAGATAACGGACTATATGAAATTGAAATAAATGTGAAAGATAATAAATAAGATTGAAAAAATTCAAAGATAATAAATGAAACTAAAAAAAAAAAGAAAATTAATAGATGACTTATTAAATTAACCCTCCCATTTTCGTATCCTTCATCTATTGCCCTCAACCAAACAACCTCTAAACATTGTCTTAAGCATTATTATTATTATTATATTGGTGTTTATCATATGAGCTTTTAAAAAATTAAAAGAAAAAATACTTTAAAACTAAGTTGTTTTATTAGAGTACTATGAGAAAATACCAAAACAAAATTATGATTTAAAAATAAGTTATTTTAATATTTTTTAATAAAAATTTATTGAAATGATATAATATTAAGATTTTTTTCTTCTAATTTTTTAAAGACTTAGCTAACAAACACTTTTCCTTATTATTATTAGAAAAATAATTGATAGATCTTTTAATTTAATATATTTTTTGATATTTGCTTGATTTAACTATTAAAATATAATATAATTATAGTCGATTTAGTTAGATCTTTCTTTTTATATATATAAATACATCTTTAAATTTATTTTCTTTTAATTTCAAATCCACAAATAATAATTTTTTTGAATTCTATATTATTATATTATTATATGCTTCATGTCTCTTTTTTTTTTTTGGTAAATAGAGTGAATACCATTAAAAGAAACTACAGCACGCCTGGGATCAACAAATCCCATACATATCAACCAAAAGAATATAAGAGACCTTAATTGTTTTTTTTTTTTTAATGAAAATAGAAATTCCATTGAACCAAATTAAGTCTAACAAAAAGAGGTCCAATATATTGTGCAAACATTTCTATCATGAGAAAAACAAGAGGAGCAAAAGGAAGAAATAGTGTCAAAAGTGATAAAAGTCTTCTCCATTTAAACTCCATGCTTAGTGACTGGATTGGCCACACCATTTGCGTCATGGTATGCATACTTGATCAGCACCTGCTCAAATCTCTGCATCAACAATCTGCCATCTTCGCTAGTCTGTCAGCCACCATATTAGCTTCTCTCTGAATATGTTGAAGTCGGCAATTAGGAGTAAGACGGAGAATCAATGATTTGTTAATTTAAGTAAAAAAAATTCATTTCTTTTTAATTAAGGTGTTGAGTTTGATCTTACTAATAAATTTTTTTTATAAGGTTCGATAAGACTTGATTTTAAATCAATTGAGATCTAATATAATTTTTGAATATTGAAAAATTCATAAAAAAAGAATAAGAGGGTGAGGGGGGAAGACATTTGTAATCCGAAATAAATGGGCTTAAAGGAAGGCACAACAAAGTTAGTAATGAAAGGAAAGGTTGCAGGTTGTACGATCAGCGCGCTATCAGGACTGGTGCACAAATCCACAGAAGTGTATTCGATCAATTAAATATTATCATGTTTTTTTTTAAGGACTTGCATTGAAATGCTACTGTTGGAGCATGTTAGACTAGAAGTTTATGTGTTGTTCTATAATTTTTTACTACGTACATAATTTAAGGTTTTCTGTATCTGTATAGAAGTTTTATGTTGTAGTGATTTTCATTTGGCTTGGAGAACTCCTCTCCCTTTACTAAAATTTTCATTTTTGTTGACGGATAAAAATAACATAATAATTAGAGAAAGAGCGACCACAGAATCTGTCTCCTCAATAAGGTTTAGTAAAATTCTTTGAACAGTAATATATACCTAGAGCCTATCCATGATTCCACGAAGTTTAGCGACAAGAGAGGTTGAAAAACCCACCCTCCTGCAAGAGCCGCACATCCAACAGCCAGTGGCCTCTCTAAAATCTCCACCAGAAGCTGAAAGACCAGGATTTCCTATAACTAAAGCATCAGTGTTGAATTTAATGAAGGCATGTCTAGGGGGTCTCCATCCAAGGAATGAAGACATGCATATGCTTAGTGTCGAATGCCTAAACTTTTTTGGTACAATGTGAATGCCCAAATTAAACGTATGGGCATGACTTTGATTACTTATCAATTAACTTTATTAAGATTAGATGTTCCCGGAAGCTTATGAAGTCTTAATTTAGCTAATTGAACTACTGAGTTTTTTAAGCTAAATAAATATCATTAATGAAACTCTAAGAGAGTTATTGTTGTATAAAGATACAACCTGAAATGAGTATTGTAGTAATTTTTGTGAACATAAATATAGAAATTAAACTTTACATGGTTTTTGTGAATTATAGTTTAAGAGTTTAGTGGGGCAATATCAATTTTAAGAAACTGATTGACTTTCATGGCCCGAAGACTCACTGACACTAACCCAGCCTTTGCCAACAATGAATTTCCCGGCTCAAAACCTCGTTGTTATAATAACATAATTTTTTTTTTTTTTTATGAACACTTAATAGCATAATTGGGTCAAGGAGAGCAGAAAAAAGTTTTTTATTTAATTCAAAAAAAAAAGGAGAAAGATTTCTCTCCTCCCTATTTTCATCAACTCAAATATAAAGCAATCTAAATGACAGAAAAAAAAAAAAAAAAGATTAGTCTACAATTATTGACTTGTTTTTTGAATTGATTTGATAAATTTTAGTTATGAGTCAAAATAAGCTGATGCAAAAGAAAACAGAGGCATTTATGGTTTAAATTAAATTCAATTTTCATTTTTTTAAAATTTTAAAATAGCTATTATTTTTACATCAAGTCTTATAAGTCAAATGTTAAGTACACTTAATACCTTAATTATGATCAAGATTCAAATTATGGTACTATTTAAAAAAAAATTT